CTGATCATTTACTGCTGTCAAATTCATTACTTCAAAGCACAGCTTAGATTCATTCCTGTTACTAAACTTGCAATGAACTTGAGCAGATATTTGCACACCAATGTTTATAGCAGCATTATTCATAAAAGCAGGAAGGTGGAGACAATCCAAATGTCCACTGACAGATGAACGGATAAACAAAACGTATGTACGTACAACAGAGTATGATTCAACTATAAAAAGGAAAGAAATTCTGATACCTGCTACAACATGGGTGAAGCCTGAAGACATTATGCTAAGTGAAATAAGGCAGACACAAAAGGGAAAATATTATATAATTCCACTTGTGTGAGGCACCTAGAATAGTCAACTACATAGAAAAGGAAAGTGGAACAGTGGATGCAAAGGGCTGGGAGCAGGGGAATAAGGAGTTATTGTTTAAGGGACATGAGCTTGATTGGGAAGATGAAAAAGTGGTGACAGTCACACAATAATGTGAATGTACTTAATGCCACTGAAATGGACACTTAAAAATGCTTAGGATGGTAAACTGTACATTCTGTATACCTTACCACACACATAAATACTTCTAAAATTTACTATCTGACAAAGTACAAATTACTCATCTCCAACACTGAAAATCTTCCAGAGTAAACCACCTTTCCAGCCTTGCCTTGCATTAATCCCACATCTCAGTGTTCTACAGAATATTAATTCGAATACACGTTAAGTATTATTTTAAAAAAATCAAGAAGTATGAAGAAGGCTGAAGTATATAAAGAAAACTAGGACTTTTCAAGGCTTTAAGAAGTTGTACTGGGTTGTGAAACTCCAAAAGGCTCTTGGAAGAAATAAATGTATTCAGAAAACATTAGCTCAGTCTTATACAAGTTGAGAAGAGTTAATGACTTAATTGCATTATACTTACAGTAAAAAAAGAAGTCCCACAAAAGCGAGTACATATTCCTCGTACAAAACCTTCATGGGCTTGTATTGTACGGATACATTTCCGTTTAGTCAAGTTCCAAATTCTAACCTATGATAAAGCATACCAGGAAATTTTAGTGAACTATAAACATAAAATGTTCAAGCACAGGAGTACTATGTTCCAAGAAAAATAAATTCACACTGAAAAGCCTATGACTCACTCTACTAGACTGCTAAAAACAAAATCCTCTAGTTTAAAATACTGCAGTGCATATGGACAGTATATCAACAAGCAGAAAATTCAATCTGTTATGTACTCTGTTGATTCCAGTTTAAAGTGTTTCAAAACTTTCTTTTCTTGCCAGAGTGGAAATAAGTGTTGAATCATTAATAACATCCTCTGCTGGGGGCGGGAGGGGGGGGGGACCCAAAACTCACAAATACCTTTACTACTGTAAACATGCTTGAGACTTCAGCTCAATTGAGCCTTAAGCTGTTACATTTCTAATTTCTGAGGCTTAGATAAGAAACTATGTAGTTCGTAATTCAAACAGAATTCATTCTTGAGAATAAAAAAAAATAGGACACAGAAAAATGAAATCAAAGCAATTAAAATCCGCAGTAACACAAAACTAGAAAACATTTGTAACATAACTATTTTTAGTTTAAAATAGGAATGTTTAGAGTGACACTTGCCTCTCCATCACATGCCCCAGAAAGGACAGTAGCCAGGCTCTTTGGATGCTTTGCCAAGCAATTGACTCCATCTCGGTGACCATCCAGAGAAGCAAGGAATGGTTTTGCAAATACCCGTTCCAGTTTGGTAGCATTTAAAGCTCTTACGTATTCTCGTGGGACCTCAAAAGGATGTAAGGTAGGATCATAGTTTCTTGGAACTGAAATAAAAATGACTTCTCTTAATAAAATAATTCACTTTTAATATTTCCTGTGGTCTTCCTCAGCTAATTATTCAATTTGTTACTCAATAAGCCTTTGTTAGGAACACTGTTCTATGCCTAGCACTGTGAAAAATTCCAAAGTAGATGCCCTTTAACTCAGAAACCTTTCCAAAGGTTTCCAAAACTACCGGAAAATCATGGAATGCATACATCTTGCAAAATAATTAGACCCTACATATAACCTCAGCTTTTACTTTTATATGTCCTACTACATTCTTTAACTGGGTTGCAAGGCTTTGATGAGCAGGGCTTTCACCACATTTTTCACTTTACTACTTATGCCTAGCACAGTGCCTGGTACAAAACAAATCTCTGACAAATGTTTACCCAACCGAACTCGAAGCTCCTTTTGAGGCAGGTAACAGTATTAATCCCCAGTGCTAACCATTATATTGATACACACTTTTGTGATTATGATTATAGTAACTTTTTATTGAGCATTTCACACATTTGTTTACTTACTTAAAAAACAGTTTACCATGTCCCAGGCACTGTTCCAAATACTGTATATTAATTCATTTAATCTCCACAGTACTCTATGGGGTAAGTTCTATTACTATTTCCCATTTTATAGCTGGGAAACTGAGGCATGGAAAAGTAACTTGCCTATGAAGTGATAAGGCCAGGATTCAAACCAAAGCAGTCTGGTTTCAGAATCCATGTTCTTAACTATTACCCTATGCTGCCAAACATATTGTCTCAGTTTACAGTTGTGTTCTAAGCACACATGTCTAAAAAACCCTTAATGTTGAAAAGTAAATGCATCTTCTTACTCCACATCTTCAACTTGCTTTTTTTTTCTCTAACTCCCTATTACTGGTACGATATCCAACATTCAATCAAAAGTAACACCTAAACAAGAATGAAAGAATAAGAAAAGGTAACAAATGGGGCGCCTGGGTGACTTTGTTGGTTAAGCAGCTGACTACTGATTTCGGCTCACGTCATGATCTTGGGGTCCTGTGACTGAGCCCCGTGTTGGGCTCTGCGCTCTCCCAGGGGAGTCTGCTTGAGACACTCTCTCAAATAAATAAATAAATAAATCTTAAAAAAAAAAAAAAAGGTAACAAATGTCTTCCTTGATTTATGTTTTACAGAGCTCCTAAACTTCTATTTTTCCATTTTGCTATTAAAACTTCCATCTAAACGTCTGCCTTCGGCTCAGGTCATGATGTCAGGGTCCTGGGACTGAGCCCTGAGTCAAGCTCCCTGCTCAGCGGGGAGTCTGCTTCTCCTTCTCCCTCTGCCCATGCTCCCTTGCTCGCCCTCAAATAAATAAAATCTTTAAAAAGAAAACTTCCATCAGAAACTATATAGAAATAGGAAGATATTAAAGAAAATAAGACACTCAGTAACATCAGATGACTAATAACCTCCTAACATGGAGAGTCTATGACCAGCCAGTCACTCACTCATTCCTTCCTTCAGACATTTATAAAGTAAACACTATGTGCCAGGTGTTGTCTAGACGCAGTGGATATAGAAACAAATATGATTCTTCCCTTTTATGCAAGCTCAGTCTGATGGAAGAGACTGATAACCAAAATAATCATGAGACAATGTGATACACACTCTGATGTTAGTACAAAAATGTGATCGAAGAATAGGAGGATGCTTCAAATGGGCTGGGGGCGGGGGCAGGCAACCACAGGGAATAAGTAGGGAAAGATTACTGCTCAGTGGAAGGAGCTAAATGGAGTATGGGTGTGTGCCACAGGCCTTCTGAAAGAGAAATGTCCGAAATGTACTCAGAAATCCAAGGGTAAATGTAAGCTACCTGCAAGGAAAATAGTGACCAGTGAAACTAGAGAGGAAGATGGGACCAGAGGTTCAAGGAGCAAGGGTGATGTCAAGTCCAGATGACGTAACAATTTGCATTTTAAAAACATTACTATCTTGTTACTGTAAACATCTTGTGAACAGACACCACATATTTACCTCTCACAATTTATTCATATATAATGAATAATCTCTACTATTCAATCAAAATACCGAAGTATCATCTGAGCTTCATCTTCTATGGCTTATCCCCCTCACTCAAACTCCGAAGACATGGCCCTTCTCTTATGCTTTATTTTTATTCCTGCCTTAAAGCCTTTGTTATTCTCTTCAGACATGGTTAATCCCTCGTCATTTAGATATCATGATCTATAAGTGATAAGTAGTCAGGCTGCTACTGGGGGAAGAGACCTATAAAACCAATAAATAATAAGTCTTACTAATTTCACTTTGGCCATTTCCCCATCAGGCCTCTCCACAAAAGTTTAGAAAACTGAGGGCTTTACGTTTCACCTTTGTCTCTTCCCACATTTAGAAGTACGTAACTTTAAGAAGTTAAGTGGCCAAAAGTTAGAGAGGTTTAAAGCAGACTTCCAAATCCTTGAATTCACTTGCTTGGCTTTCAAGTTCCACTTCTCTACAACTGGAATCTGAGAAAAGTCAGAGAGCAGCAGCTGGAAAGGGGGAGGCGGAAGCATTCCAGGTACGACCAACTTTCTCACTAACCACTAGAAAAAGTTCTTCAAAAACGGCCTTGAAGAGAAGTTACCCGCTACCCCGTCCCGCAATATCCTTATCTGCACAAAGTTTGGCTCGGCAAAAGGGAACGGGGAAAGAACGAGCCTGGAGCGCCAGTGTTCCCCCAGATTTGCTCCGTGGCAGCCGAAGGCGGACTCAAGGCTGGCGGACTCCCTAATAACTTGTCTCACCTCTTTGTAGGTCCAGTTTGGTTTCGCGTACATAGTTGTCCGGGTTCCGGCTCAGCATCTTCACCTTCATTTTGGCTGCTAGTCGCCCCCGAACCCTCCAAGCCTTTCCTCCGCGTTCGGATTACCACCGCCTCCACAGACACATGCTACTTCCGCTTCTTCAATACTACTTCCTGTCATGTGACTTCCACGGTGTGGAAGCCGGCTGCCTCAGCAGGACCCTGCGGCGCTCCGTAGTTTTGCCGGCAGAGGTTGGCCCGAGGTGGTTCTTCAAGAGTGCTCCTGTGTCCGCCACCCTCGGCCCGAAACGGCAGCAGGTGGGGGCGGGACGGGGCGGGGGCGGGGCCTTGACGGAGGCCGGCGCCCCGCCTCCTTCGCGCTCTCCGCAGGCGTGACGTGCTACCTTTCCCCTCTCACGCCGGCTCTCCGCTGGGGTCTCTCCGCTTAGTTACCGCGTCCTAGCGCTGGTCCCGGAAGTAGGCTGTCCACCCCGCCACCCGCCTCCCGCGGTTTCTGCTCCTGGGCGGCGACGGTCGCCACGGTGGCGGCCACTGCATCTCCTACCACCTCCGCGGCCCTGGGCGCGGTATCAGCGGGCCCTGGGACTATGACGGGCCAGGGACAGTCAGCGTCAGGGACGTCGGTGTGGAGCACGATATTCCGCCACGTCCGGTACGAGAACCTGGTGGCGGGCGTGAGCGGCGGGGTCCTGTCCAACCTCGCACTGCACCCGCTCGACCTCGTGAAGATCCGCTTCGCTGGTAAGAGCCCGCTCTGACCCTGGGCTCCTTCTCCTTGCTGGTACCCCGAACTGGGTGATAAAGACTCAAAAGTAGGCCTTGCTCTCCCCAGCCCCTTGCGTTCTCCTAGGCGAGCGTTGAACCAAGTGCTGCTTATACTGCCTCACCTGGAACTAGATTTGAGGAAGGGGAGCCTGAGAAAGGGATCTGGCTGTCCTCGTCCCCGTTCCCCAAGTCTAAGGGATGGACAACAGAGATAGAAAATTCTGAGAAAAGTTCAGATTGGCGTAGGATGGGGGACTCACCTTCGTATTTGTAAATTGAGAAAGGGATTGGCACATTTTAGGGTTCGGCCCTCGCATGCGCTAATCATTCACCGTTGGAGGTACTTTGAAATCTTAACGGTAGCCACGTGTTTGGCGGTGGACCTGAGGAAAAAGTGCTTGGGGTAGGGCTAATTCTCAGCGGGTGACTGGGAATGGGTTTAGGATAGGATTCTCTTGAAGACTTGTTTTTTGGTGCTTATAGTGTGGTACAAAATCCCATGAAGGAATAGATAGCTAGAATCCAAGTGCTCTTTTTTAAAATTTTAGGGTTTATTAAGTGCAGTGAGGTAAGTGAAATTTACAAAGTACCGTAGACGTTAAACTCAACAGTGAATTCTAGAAAAGATCGTTCGGAAGAAGGTCTTGATAACTTTACTGGGAAACTATTTTCTGGCATTTGGTTTTCTTACTACTACAAGTTGAGAATTAGATCTGCAGAAGTGGTTCATCTTCAAGAATCAGACTGATTCTATCCACCTTAAATATATTGTTCCCTTAATATTTGTAGATTGCTGTACAGGATACAGAGGCACCTAAACACAGTTCTCATCCTCGAGGGAGTTTCGGTCTAACTGTAGCCATGAGAGTTAGTCACATAAAAGATAATTCTAAGACAACATAAAACCAAGGGCAAAATCCAAATATCAAAATATGAGTAGAGACAGACTGTCAGGAAAATTTTAGATTGCTGATGGCCATATGTGTCTGTATGTGTAAGGTTCCATTAGATTTTGAGGTTCCACACAGAAGGCCTCATATGTTGACAGCTGGAAAGGAGACAAGAAGCCATTCTATGGAGGAAAATCAGTGAAAATCTTGGAGTATACTCCCTAGAAGAAAACCCAGAAAGGCATATAATTTCCATGGAGTTTGTAACACATGCACAGATAAAAATTAAGATGACAGATAACATTGAGCGTCTACTAAGAGCAAGGCAATGAGCTAAGAGTTTTACATATATTATCTATCTCATTTACTACCCTGAACAATCCTGTGAATTTATTATCTCCACTATACCAATGAGAATAATAGAAGTTGACTTGCTCAAGTCTCAAGTTTATAATGGCATGGATGTGGGATTTGAACCCAGGCAGTCTAATTCTAGAACCCTTGGACTCTTAAACCACTCACCATTCTACCTCTAGGAATCCCTAGTATACAGTGACTTGAACATGAAGAAAAGAATTTTGGATTTGGCTGCAGGTACAGGCCTGTATGACTTGGTGTCTCCCATGTTTTGTCTAGGAGAAGAGGTGACAGTTGAGATGATCATTGAGGAATAGTGTTGGCTTGGTGAGTTTAAGCAGGGCTGTGAAGCAGATTATGCCTGAAGAAAGGGAATTCTTGGTACCTGAGAAGATGGTAATCTTGATGAAATGGGGAGAGTTTTAGGAGACCAGTGTGGCCAAAGTAATAGGTAAGATGATTGAGACTGGATGGAGGATAAAATTAAAGATCTGGGAATCAAAGCAGGAGTTTGTAATGATAAAGTGTGGCAGTGAAATGTGATAGAAAAGGGGGAAAATTTAGGAAGATGAATAACAAATCAAAATAGTTGATTGGCCAGCAGCACTAATGCTGTAGTTCTTATGCTTTCATAAAACTTAGGCACTTATAATGAAATTGTAATTACCTAGTGACAAGGGGTATTAGCCTTGAATGCCCCATTGAACTGAACCTGGAATATTTCCGTGAGTTCAGGTGCAAATTCAAAATTTTGTGTCCAGTGTGGTAGAAAGATTAGAAATCACTTGTGAGAAATGACTGGAAAAACTAGTTTGGCTTCAGGTGGGTGGAGGGCAGGGACAGATGACTTAAGATATTTGAAGAACTGCCATGTGTGAAAGGGATTTATCTTATTATGGGTTGATCCAAAGACTAGGTAGAGGTTGAGTGGAAATGATAGGTAAGCAGATTGTGACTGTCCCACGTGGGGGTGCTCAGAAATGAAACTGGTGATATCTGGAAGTGGTTCAGGGCTAGAAGATAGAAGATACCCCTGTGTTGAGTGGAAAAGTCAGTCAGATGAGGTGATTGATGAGGACCCTTCTAACTTTAAGATATTATTTTATTTTATTTTTTTAAGATTTTATTTATTTATTTGACAGCGAGAGAGTTCACAAGTAGGCAGAGAGGCAGGCAGAGAGAGAGGGGGAAGCAGGCTCCCCGCTGAGTAGAGAGCCCGAAGCGGGGCTCGATCCCAGGACCCTGGGATCATGACCTGAGCCGAAGGCAGAGGCTTATCCCACTGAGCCACCCAGGCGCCCCTTTAAGATATAATTTTAAATCATCCAAGAATGATGAGAGAGAGGGGTGCATGGCTGGCTCAGTTGGAGGAGCAACGACTCTTGATCTTGGGGTTGTAAGTTCAGGCCCCATGTGGGGAGTAGAGATTACTTAATAAAATTTAAAAAAAGACTGGTGAGATAGATAGAGCGTGTACGCCTCAATGAAAAATGAGGTATAACGGTAATTTTCTAAAATAACTTGAAAGCCCAATAATCCACAAGTTAATCGAGGGATGAAAGTATAGAATCAAGTAACAAGAATAGCATACAGTCCAGTTTTGTACATATAGTATAGTATTGCCAGCCCTTGTAGCTTAAATAAACTAATACGTCCTGAATGCTTTCTCTGTGCCATGCATGGTTTTAAGGGCTGTATATGTATTCATTCATTTAGCCCTTTGTATTTTTCATAGTTAGGTTCTATTATTTCTCCCATTTTGTGGATGAGTTAGTGCAACCACAGAGTAATCAAGTAAGTGACTCAGAGTCACACAATTAAGTGTCGGAGTGGAAGGGGGCTGCAAAGGAAATTTAGGGGCCAGAGAAGAAAGAAAAAAATCAGGAGAGTGTCATGTGAAATTAGGCCAAAGAAGAGGGTTTAGGAGGTAGACAGTCTTAAGTGCTGCTAAATAGTTGATGAGAAAGAGAAGTTTCCCCAGATTCACTTCAGGCTCTCTAGAGCTCTTGCAGTAATGGGTGGAGGCCCAAATCACACCGCAGTGGACTGGGGCGGTCGGGGACACAGTTCACACCATCACACCATCGCCCTGCTTTCTAGCCTAATTTCCTACCAGGCCTTCCCTCCCTCAGCTGTACACTTTATATATCGAATCCCTGATGTTCTCCCAGACAGTGCCAGGCACTGTGATACCTGCACGTATCCACAACAGCTGTTGCGCTTGTCTAGAGACAAATCTTTCTCTCCTTTCCCCAAAGACAAGTTTCTAATCAATCTCAAGGCTCTACGCTAGCATCGTCTCTCTCACATTCGCTGTCACTCTACTGCATCTCCCCAGTTCTTTCTATACAGAACATCTTTTTGTTTCTTCTGTAATCCTATAACACTTCATTCACCATAGTGCTCCTAACTGGGCAACGTGATTGTTGCTGTTTGGCCTTGAAGATTATGTCTTCCTCAGGGTCAGAGTTTGTATCCTACTTGTGTTTAGATTCCCCCTTTGCCTGGCAATAACAAGGAGTCAGTAGTTTTTAAATTTTTGTATAAAGTGACAGGTGTACAAATCACTGTTTTTCAGATTTATAGATTTGATCCTAACTATATAGTGGAGAGCAGATTATAGCATCAGGGAAGTACAGGGTGTAGAATGTTGTTGCCTGTTACTGAGATACTTAATACTCTACTTCTGTAATTAAGTGACTTGTCAAAATAATAAAGAAATCATTGGTTCATCCCCATGAAAAGCAAAGATGGTGTTTTTGTGGTTTTGTTTTTCACCTCAAGAGAGAAACTGTGTTGTGAACTTATTACTGAAAGGAAAATGGAAAGGTACTTGGAAGAAATTTATCAGGAGAATAAGAGACTTGAAATTCAAGGAAAACATCAGAAAGATTATGAAATACACAGCAGAATATTTCTTGAGAGCCAATTTGTTTTTAAACTTGATATCTTGTATAAACTTCACGACAACCTGTGAGGTGGGTCATATTTATCCCCATTTTATAAATGAGGTTGCTGAAACTCAGAAAGATTAAGGTCACGTAGCTAATTAGAGAAATTAGAGATCAAACCAGGTCTTTTGACAAAGCCTCATCTACTTTAATCTCATTTCATGGTGTAACATTGTCAGGTTAATGATGAAAGAAATTGACTTTTCTCCCTTTCCCTGGCAATGGTAAACAGTGATTCTTTGCCAGACTCCATTATGTGGTGGTGTAGTGGCAAAGGGGACAATGAACTGAGCATGCTTTTATGTGGCCAGAGGACTGTCATTTGTATAAACTTTCTAGAGGGCAGTTTCAGTTTGTACTCATAACCTTTGACCCATATTAATTTCCATTCTAATAGTTAATTCTAAGGAAATAGGGATTTGTATGTTGTACAGAATATTCTCTAGAAACCCTTTAATAATAGAAAAAAAAATATGAGAACTTACATGAATGATGTACAAATGATGGAATATCTATGGGAGGAAAAACCATCACATGATTTTTTTTTTTTTAAAGATTTTATTTATTTGAAGGAGAGTGAGAGAGAGAGCAGAGAGAGGAGAAGGTCAGAGGGAGAAGCAGACTTCCCAGAGCCGGGAGCCCGATGCAGGACTCGATCCCAGGAATCCGGGAACATGACCTGAGCCGAGTTGGTTAAGCAGTGGCTTAACCAACTGAGCCACCCAGGTGCCCCATCCATCACATGATTTTTAAAAAAACTTTTGGAAGTCTTTTTTTTTTTTTTTTAAGATTTTATTTATTTGAGAGGGAGAGAGAGAGCACAAGCAGGGGCAGCGGCAGGGAGAGGGAGAAGCAGGCTCCCTGCTGAGCAAGGAGCCCAATGTAGAGCTCAATCCCAGAACCCTGGAATCATGACCTGAGCCACCCAGGTGCCCTTGGAAGTCTATTTAATTACAAATAACAAGTCCATGATAACAAGGAGGAATTCTGACAGTATACTCTTGAGTGAAGAAAAAAGCAGTATAAAAAACTATATGTAGTAAAAGATAAATGTAGTAAAAGATAAATTTAACATTCTTTCCATTTCCCCATAGGAAACAGAAGGCACATTCAAAATAAGAACATTCAAAGGACTGTTTACAAAGATACGAGATTATAGCAAAACCACAACAAATACTGCAGAATTCTGGAGCTAGAAACAGTTTGGGCTGTTGCCACCTTAAGGGCCAGATGTCAAGGCGAGAAGGTCCTTGAGAGAGGGCCACCTTGAGCAGAGCTGCAACTGTCAGTAGAGAAATGCAGCCTGCCTGAGGTCACCCCATAGGAAGGGAAGTGAAAGAGTAAATACCTTCCTCCACTCTCTTCTATCCCTCTGATCTCTTGTCAGGCCTCCCCACTAGCCCAACTCAACTAGAAACTAGAAGACAAGGTCAGGCTGCCAGGCAGAACGTGGTAGAGAGGGATGGACCATGGGTCTGGAAAAGAAACAATATTCAGGATATAATAATTGAGCAAATCTATCTTGAGAGCCTACAGTGTAGAAAGCACTAAGATAGGAGTAGAAATATGGCAGCGAAATAGTAGTAGTCTCTGCCCTCACAGAGCAACTTCCTACTGGGAAGCCAGAATAATTGAACAATAATGATTGCAGTGAAGAGTGTTTTTATTATGGTAGGGAAAGTGTGTTATACCATGGGTGCAAAGAAACTTGAGCTCATCTAGGGGATAGGAAAGGATCACCAAGGGAACTTATTAAGCAGACTTCAAAGAGGAATCGAAGTTAGCTGTGTAAAGGAGTTAGGTGACTGAGAAGACCGAGTGTTCATGGCAGACAGAATAGTCTGTGTAAAAGCTTTAAGGTTCAGAGACTATGTAAGAACTGAAAGTTGTTGAACATTCTAGCAATTTGCATCAGATTTTTTTGTTTTGTTTTGTTTTTAGATTTTATTTATTTGACAGACAGAGATCACAAGTAGGCAGAGAGGCAGGCAGAGAGAGAGGAGGAAGCAGGCTCCCTGCTGACCAGAGAGCCTGATGGGGGGCTCGATCCCAGGACCCTGAGATCATAACCTGAGCTGAAGCCAGAGGCTTTAACCCACTGAGCCACCCAGGCGCCCTGCATCAGATGTTTTGAAGAGAAAATAATACAGAGTAAATAGTTCTGAAAAATAAAGAGGAATATTTTTCTTTATCTAAAAAGTGTTTTCTTCTGAATTTATCTCCTTACTGTGACAATGTGACGTCTAGGTCTATACGTGATTCAGAACTAGAACTTTGCTCTCACCTAATTTTGTGCCTTTACTGCAGTGAGTGATGGATTGGAACTGAGACCAAAATATAAAGGAATTGTGCATTGCTTGACTACCATTTGGAAACTTGATGGACTACGAGGCCTTTACCAAGGAGTAACCCCAAACGTGTGGGGTGCAGGTTTATCCTGGGGACTCTACTTTTTCTTGTGAGTAGATCTGGGAGATTTTACAGTATTAAATAAAAGAAGTTTGTTTTTTCAGTGATTTTTACATTTCTGTCAATGAAACAAGATGAGTCATCTCATCAGTTTCTCTGAATAGGAAGGGTCAGAAAGAGCAAAAGGCTTATTTCCTTTTCTGTCAGCTATTATCAGAGGCATTCGGTCTGGAAGAAAAGTTCTTAATAGGAAAAAGGTGAAGGATGAGTCGGAGAAAGGCTCTTACAGAAGCCACTTCTATGAGATGAATTCAGGAAGATGCCTTACCGAAGTCGTTCTGATTTGTAAGGAAGTTGGAAAGCCGACGAGGACAGGTCTTGGGGTCCTCATAAGAACACATGCCACGGGAGCTCCCTCTTAGGAACAGAACGTAAAAGCCAGTGCGTGGCTATAAGAGCTGGAGGCGCATCACCTCTTGCCTCTCATTTGACTGGCTCCATCATCTTCCTACCTCGTTCATTTCCTTCCTCCTTCACCTGTCAGGTATCGTCACCATGTGAAAGAGCTGCGATTCCATTACCAGTGAAGAAGCCGCAGAAAACACCTGGGACAGGCACACTCGGGTTACTGACTGTGCAAGAGTGTGGGAACAAAGCAGTGGAGGAGGACATGCTGCCCTGATACTTGAAACTGAATCCAGGAACGGGGAGGCTTGTCTTTGTTTTAATAGATGACAGTTTTAGAACATCAGTACCCAGTCTATTTGCCTTTTTCTCTTTTGTGTTGCATATTTTAGTTTATCTCCCATAATTTTATGGCATTCTCCAAACCACAGTCTTTTGCGGGGTGGGTGGGGAGAGGAAGAGGGAGAATCTTAAGCAGGCTCCCCACCCAGTGCAGAGCCTGGCGTGCAGCTCGATCTTGTGTCCCTGAGATCATGACCTCAGCCAAAATCAAGTCAGACGCTTAACTGACTGAGCCACCCAGGCGCCCCCCCCCCAACCACAATCTTAAAATATTTTTAAGTGAATGCAGAACAAATTCAACCTTAATATTGTTTAAAAATGTATTTTTCTTCTTTTTTAGTTCTAAGACACACTTAGATGGGTGAAATATAGGTATGAAATTTATTATGAATTTTGAGTTGTGTACGTTCTCTAAATAGAGTTTCTAAGGACATGGCTCATGGATGTAAGGTTTAGGTAATGAGAATTTCTTATAAAAGTATACTTGTTTCATGTTAGAATAGAAACGGTAAAGTTTGGATTTATGTGACTGAGCTCCTCTTCCAAGTGGAAAATGGAAATCGGAGTTAGAATAGACTGATCTGAGTCCTCTGCTGAGAAACATTGAGTGGCTCTTGATTTTCTGCCAAATAAAGCCCAGACGTCATTCTGCCACTCAAGTGTGGCTCCGTTTCCCTGTCTTCCCCCACCGCCCTTATTATAACTTTTGCTTACGCTCATCAGTTTTCCCCCTGAAGCTGCACCTGTCCCCACACCCCACCAGTGCCACCTACACAAGCCTTCTGTGATCTCAGCCATAGTTTCTCAATCTCTTATGACACCATTTGTGATGTCTTTGTTAGGTTACTTGTGTGCTGCTTGTGGTCCTTGTTAATCCACTAGGAAGGACCTACCCAGTGTTTTATCTAGCAGAATTGCCAACCACAGTACCTGAACGCTATGTGTTCAGCACTTCTTTGTTAGGGGCCCCCTTTTGTCCTTTTGCCTTGTCTGCCCCACAGCTGTGCCACTGCTACAGCCCCTCCCCCCAGTTTTCCCATTGTTGCTATTCATTGATGAGTATGTGATTAAAATATTTTGCATATGTAGTGGTAGCCATATTCATTTTGGGGGAGGGATGATAAACTCTTGGAGTAAACCATTTCCAGCAACCCATTCTTGAAACTTTCTTTTTTGCCGTATGCATTGACTTTTACTTGTGGGGTATTGCTCTTAAGTTACACACATTTTAAACAGACCTTACTGTTTTAGGACACCAATTCAAATATTTATCAAACTGCTTATGTTTAATTCTTTTAGTTACAATGCCATCAAATCATATAAGACAGAAGGAAGAGTGGAACGTTTAGAGGCAACAGAATACCTCGTCTCAGCCGCTGAAGCTGGTAAGGCAGAGTGGGGAAATGTAAAATAGCAACTTCCAACTTGATTTTCATTTTTGTTTTTTGTTTTATTTGCTTTTTCCCCCCCATTGAACAATACAGTTGAAGTATGCTTTTGTAACCAGTTATCACATGGAATTTCTTAGAAAGCAGCTACTCTTACTGGTTACTCTGGACAGATTTCGAGAATTTTAGTTATCACAAAGAAATAAAATTTAGAAAAATGTATGAATTCTTGATAGTTTGAGATGATTTGGTATGGTGTTTTCTTTAATTAAAGTATAATTTCAGTTTTCAAATTAGTTTAGTAGCCTTGTTAATTGCCTCATGTTTATGTAATATTCCAAAGAGAAAAGCAGAGCAGGACCCATAAATCTTTATTATAACTCTTAGTTTTATACTTCGTTTACTGATAGTTCTTGTCTTAAAAAGCCTACTCATTTTTTAATACCTAGCAGCTAGCACAGACTGGAATCACAGTGGGACTTAATAAATAAATGTTTGTTGAATAAAGGACTACTTAGGAGACTCAGCAAATGAGAAACTTAACCAGATGAAATTTTTTATATACAAAATTGTCACTTTCTGTAATGAATGTAAAGTATTATGTAGTTCTTTAAGTTTGGAGATGCGTTGGCTACTTTGAATAGATTTGAGGAGGATTGTGGTAAAGTTGGGGTAGATATATATATGTACATGTGGAAAATATTGAGGCGTTGGATTCCAGATCCTTTTCCCCTAATCTTTAACACCTCTGGGTTATACTTTGTCCTCCTAAATATTTATACCTCCTTACCAGCACCCGCTTCTTAGGACCCCCGTCTGTCCCTACACAAGCATACTGTTCAGGAGCCAGGACGTCTTTGCTGTCCTCACACCTCAAGGGGAAGGTGTTTCCCATTTCCATCTCCCTTTTAATTTACCTCCCACTCACCGAGTGAGGAACATTTTTTTGGCCGCCAAAAACTATGGCTACCCTTTAACCCCCAGACTTCCTCAGCGAATACATCTTACTGTTGCAGGTACAACCCCTGGGCAACCCCATTGTTTATATTAATGAACTGTTCTTAATCCGGATTGTGGGAAGTGACAACCTGTATGCTGAGTAATCTTATTTAAATTTGGTTTTAGGAGCCATGACCCTCTGCATTACAAACCCATTATGGGTAACGAAAACTCGCCTTATGTTACAGTACAATGGTGGTGTTAACTCCTCACAGCGACAATATAAAGGAATGTTTGATACACTTCTGAAAATATATAAGTATGAAGGTGTGCGTGGATTATATAAGGTAAAGAATTATCAATATATTTTGAAAAACTGACCATTGTAACTTCCCCTGACTCTCTTGTCAGAGTTCTGAATGACCTGTAGTCAGTCCTAAAAAGAAGCCCTACTGAGGCAAGAAGCAATTTAATAAAAACCGAAGTCCTAGTGTATAATATGGAAATTGTGCTTTTATCTGTTTATCCTCATTACTATAAGGTACATCACGATGCTGGCGGGTGTGAGAAGGCCTGTCTAAAATTCTGTACAGTAACCATTTCTCTGAGTCACACATTGAGGTCACCCACTCCTTACTCCCATCCCTAGAAACCGTGTCCTTTGGGAACTGGCTTAGTTTTTGTTTTTTATTGTTTTTTTTTTTTCTGTTTTTGTTTTTTTTAATTGTTCCCATTTAGGGATTTATTCCTGGGCTGTTTGGAACGTCACATGGTGCCCTTCAGTTCATGGCATATGAACTGTTGAAGTTGAAGTACAACCAGCATATCAACAGGTTACCAGAGGCCCCGCTGGTAAGATGGTTCTTCAAAAAACAGACACAAAAACAATGGATCTCATTTACATTTATGGGCATTTAATAGATGGAGATTTTGTCCACGTTTACTCTGGTAATACTGCTATGATCATGACTGCCACTAATTTAATGTACGATTAAATATAGGCCAATGACACATATGTTAAAAATAGAACCCCTTATTTGTACAGCGCTTGTGTTAAGAGGGGAAACCATGTTTTTCATTTACAGTTCATTTAAAGATTTTCCTGTACAATGTTTACTTCTGTATTTTTAAAGGACTCCTGCCTAAAGAAAAATTAATGTCTTATGTTGTCATTTTAGAGCACAATAGAGTATATATCTGTTGCCGCACTCTCCAAGATATTTGCTGTAGCAGCCACATACCCGTACCAGGTCGTGAGAGCCCGTCTTCAGGATCAGCACATGTTTTACAAGGGCGTGCTGGACGTGATCACAAAGACGTGGAGGTGAGAGCACGCGGCGTATCAGAACGGCTCTCAGGAGGGGCCCTGCATGCCTCAAACTGACTAGTTGCTGTTAGTCGGATAGCAAAGGCCAGTGTGCTGTGCTGAAAACATGGTCAGTGGCCCCTGCTTTTCCATTTCCCATTGACTACCTATAGAACCACAGACTTAATCTCTGAGCCTTGATTCCTTCATTTGTAAAACTAGAAAATCTAGGCTGACAGTGTTGTTCTAAAAATCAAATGAGATTGGGGCTCCAGGTGGCTTGGTTGGTTTAGTGTCTGACCCTTGATTTTGGCTTAGGTGATGATCTCAGGGTCATGAGATCGAACCCTGTCTCAGGTGCTGCACTGGGTAGGGAGCCCTACTCGCAGTTCTCTCTCTTCCTCTCTCCTCCCCATCCCCTGCCCCTGCTTGCAAAAAATTCTGTGCTTGAACAAATTGATATACTAAAATTTAGGTGTCCTAAGATAGTTGAATGGCATTGAATATGGGAAGTCATAAAAATCCTAGTTTAATATAATTAAACTGCTGCTTGCACAGTAACTTGCAAACGCTTGTCTCCATGTATAGAAGAGATGCTCACTCTTCAGCCTGTGGATAACCTGTTACAGATAGACATCCCCATATTTTTCTGCAATTCTGGAAGGATTCTAGAGCAGAATATTTTGGATGTTTACACTGAGTTCAGTATATATTTATTGAGAATGCAAGTGACATGTTCCAAGGCCATATTCCCATTCCAGGCATTAAGGAAATAAAGTTTTATTTTTGTATGTGCTAGATTTACTGTCGCCTGGCATTTATATAAGCTGTAAGATTTTTGATGCCTCCTTTAGTTAATCAGTTAATAGCATGCTTGTACCTTTAGAGACATTTGAAAGATGGTTGTCATTACAGCACTTTTCAGTTTGGGAGTGCCTCTGCCCTCTCTTCTGAGTCAGTCACAGAAGGAATGGAAGCCCTACAAATGGCTCGCGGACTGCATTACTTCGGCATGTTAAGAACATGGACTTGAATCACAGGGAGGCTATGCCCTATGCCCTATGCTAATGAAACTTTTGTATCTTCAGGCTAGCTATGTAGGAAATTAAGCATGTATGTATTTTTTCCTTTAAAGGAAAGAAGGCGTTGGTGGATTTTACAAAGGAATTGCCCCCAATTTGATCAGAGTGACTCCAGCCTGCTGTATTACTTTTGTGGTATATGAGAATGTCTCACATTTTCTACTTGATCTTAGAGAAAATAAAAAGTAAGCTAGAAGAAGATAATTTCAGTACATCTGCTTAAGGGAGCAACTGTTCCTTTGTGTTTGAGATGTAAACCTCAGAAGAAGACTGCACAGCAACGTGGGTCACATGGAAATCAGTCTGTAATCATTAGAAGTCAAAGAACTGCTAAGACTTTGCAATGTTTTTCCGCTTTTTGCCTTCTCCATTTATATGGGACTTGGCTACCTCGGCCAGAAATGGCTCCATCGACACAATAGTAAAACTGACATCAAGCGGAGAGTTTCACAAATTTCTGTATTTCCCTGTTCACGTAGAAGCTGATTATAGCATTTGCTAAATGGATTAGATGAATGTGCTTCTTTTTCTGAACTCATTTGCTTGGATTGGCTTTAAAATCAGTCTCTGTGCAATAACAAGAAAATGGCTTCTGAAAAGAATTATTATGGCTGTTTCAAGGGTAAATTGAACTTGAAGGATTTTGCTGGGAAAAGTACTGCTTAAATCCAGACCATTTTTGAATTGGGAAATTTTGGTGAGGGAAAAAAAACACTGTTAAGTGTGTTTTCGTTTTAATTCCATTGGAATGTGCTAATTTGAAAAGTTACATACTTCATTTGAGAAATGTCTGATATTTGTTATTAATTTTTTTTTCTCCAGGGGCTCTGTAATTGTGGATCCAGTTACATTTTTTGGCATAGGTACTTAGTGTCTCGTAAAGTTATAAAATCTGAATTGGGATTCAGCTGGGTTAGCATATTTGGCTATAAATCACTGATTGGCTGTAGGTGACTAATAGATCACTTCATACAGACACGAGAATGATTGGAATATGTTTTTGAGAAACTGTGTGGAAGTGAGAACTAACTTCCTACTTCAGCTCTCTGACGTATGGGTTCGGATCCCAAATAAATGATTAATCTTCATTGGTTGTTCACATTCAGGTTTAAATACAAATTACATTGATGGCCATTATTGATTTTACTTTTATGAGCCATTGCAAATATCTATAAAAGCCTGTCCCCAAAGGATGCCAGAAAATATTTTTATTTATCATAAACCTTTATGAATGCTGTTGCACTTCCATCTATTTGTTATAAATAAAACTGTGGTTTTCAAAGCCATATTTAAATGGGTCTTTGAAAACGGGTCTATTTTTTATATTTTGAAAATGACATTGTTTTAAAAATACAGAATAGTAAGTATCTAATTGTATTTAATCTCTTGTAACATGCACAGAATACTTTATAAATTAAATGTGATGTATTTTTTCATACTTCTGGATTTACTATAATTCATATGAAATCCTGATATTTGTCTCTACATGGAAGACCGGCTATAGTTACTGTTTGGAGTTTTGGAGGTAGTGCCATTCTTTGAATGCCTCCTGTGTACCCCCATATTACTAAAACATAATTTCTGTCTTCTAAGAGCATACAAACTTAGAGAAAAAAATAAATAAGCGTTAAGTAACTAACAGTTCTAGGCTAACAGACAAGAAGATTTCTACAAAGCTCTGTAAGAGTTCTGAGAAAAGAGAATTCATTCCACTCATTCAACAACGAATTGTTACTGAGTTCTTGCTCTGTGCCAGCAGTGGAGATAGAGCAGGAAATAAGCCAGACAACATTCCTGCCCTCAGGGGATTTTCATTTTAGTGGGAGTGTCAGAGAACATAAATTATGCATAATACAATCTCAGATAGATTAAATGCTATAAATAGAACTAGAGCAGAGTTGGAAATTGTGCTGCTATCTTAGGATGGTTAGGGTCAGGAAAGACCTCTTTGAAGAGAGAATATTTGAAATATTTTGTAAGAAAGGAGGAAGCAAGCTACAACAAGATAAGGAATTCTAGGATGGATAGACACATTCTAGGCAGAGAAAATATGAAATACAAAGGCCCTGAGGCAGGAATTAATTTACCCGGAGGGAATGAGTTAAGGATAGGGTAACCAGGGAGGAGGAGGCTAGAGAAACGGCCCTTATAGTATGGAAAGAAAGAGTGCAGGATTGGCTTCAGATTTCAGCCTTCCCATTTGCTGGTTGGCCTCAGGCCAATCAAGTTTTCTCATTTGTAAAATGTGTCTTAGATTTGTTCCTTTGCGGAGGAGGGTGATATGAGGATGCTTGGGCAAGTGATCATTGAGGGAATGCTCTTAGGATCATAGGTAATGGAGTGAAGAAAATAGGGGAAGAAGTAGTTTCAGAAGTTCACCTTTAGCCTCACCCTACAGGACACTGCAGTATGAATTGGACCACAGAGATTATTATCCTGCCCTGAGGTGAGAGGCTGTGCTATTGTGTTCTCACAGCAGGCAGTCATTCACTACCTGTCACGGTGGGAGGAGTGGAGGCTAGGTCCCTCTTTGAGGGAGCAGTCCTCCAAATAAGGTGGGGATGACAGCTGTTAGCAGCTGGGGATATGCGTGCACCAGCCCTGTAAAAAGGGATTTGGTGGGTCATCAACACAACATCTGCAAATGAGGATGTTAAAAGTAGGTAGCTCAAAGGATTATTGATCAGATTAAATGGATCAACCCATGTCAAGTGCTTAGCATTTTAGAAATATTAGCATGGACCAGCTCTTATAGGCCATGGTCAGGGGTTTAGATTGGGGGAGAGATCATTCTAGCAATGGTATGAGGAAACAGGAGACAAGAAACAGGGTTACTAGTTAGGAAGCTTTCACAGACACCTAGTGAAGAGTTTGATGGAGTTGGAGATAGTTTATAGCTCGGTGAGAACTAGAGCAGGGTTCGTGGAAGAGAAAACTTGAAGCTTGGCCTTGGTGGTAGAGATTTCAAAGGGAACCACGAAAAAAAAAAAGCACAGGTGACATGTCTTGAGCAGTGGGTTCTCAATGTAGTAAAAAAAGGAAGAAATAGAAGAGAAAGCTGAAAGACCAGGACCAGGCCATGAGAACTCTCTTACTACATGTGTTTGGGTTTTATTTGATGAGTAAAAGAGAAGTGAGAGTCATTAACAGAAGAGAGAGACACAGTTACATCGTAAGGGTGACAGAAGACAACCAATCAGATAAGAGGAGCAAACTCAAAGGGAAGGGGTTATCAACCATGTAAATATTTCAGTAAGGTGAAGATGAATGTCGCTGATAACTTTAAGCAGATTCAAATTATAGAAGCTGAAGACAGATTGCAAGCAGTTAAGCAGGTGGGGCAAAGAGCAAGTATTCATTTCACTCGAGGCTCTTCTTCCTTGGATTTCAGCAGATAAAGGAAAGGTAGAGCGAGAACTTTAGCTTGAAAAAAGTTCTGGGAGTCTAGGAGGGGGTGCGAGCCGGAAGGTTGAGGCGAAAACAAAACTTGGAGCTCAGCATCACAGAATGAACGCATGGTAGAATGGGAACCAAGACAATGTTGGCTGCCATGCCCTGTGAAAAGCAGGTTGTTATGTTTGCAGTGTGTGCTTTTGTAGCGTGGCCGTTTTAGAAAGTCGTGTTATTTAAAGCCATACTAGAAAGGGGTTATCAACTGAAAAGTGTGTTTGAATTCAGGAGTCATCAGAGCAAGGTCTGTCTGTAGAATGGACACCTTCTGAACACAGAATCCTCCAGGCAGAGTGTTGTTACTTAATAGCAAGGCCTCTTTAGTGATTGTAAAATTGCAGAAATAAAATACCATGAAATGATTTAACTATTTCTTTTCTGAAAATACATTCTTTAACATCAGAAAGTATATGAAGTTTTGGGTTACTTTGGCTAAGGTCTTAAATGTCTTTCCAAGTGAGTGAATAAGAAATAGACTCTGCAGGGGCACCTGGGTGGCTCAGTGGGTTAAGCCACTGCCTTGGGCTCAGGTCCTGATCCCAGGGTCCTAGGATCGAGCCCTGCATCAGGCTCTCTGCTCGGCGGGGAGCCTGCTTCCCCCTGTCTCTCTGCCTACTTAGGATCTCTCTCTCTTTCTCTCTCTCTGTCAAATAAATAAATAAAATCTTTAAAAAAAAAAAAAAGAAAGAAATAGATTCTGCAAATATCTCTAGTCAATACCCTGTTACCAGCTGCTTGGCGTCTGTTTCCCTTCTGAGACTAGTAGCCGGAATTTCTTTTCAGAACCTCTCTCCTCCCTCCATTCACACCTTTGTGGTTTAGATGGAATTGGCCTCACTTGGGTGGGGCGGGGGGGGGGGGGGCTGATGCTGATTAGCAGAGCCAATCTCAATGGGCCATCTCTGTTCACAATGAACGTTTGGAATTGACACAGTTGCCTAAACTGGCCCAGTTGGGGGTGACTCTTAAAAAGACTTTTTTCTGTGTGTCCTGACATAGATTCTCTCTTTGCTGTTTCACCAATTAGGATTCGTACCCGAATTCACAAAGCCCCTCAAAGGCAATTCAAGATTATGAATTGGAGAGGGGGAGTTTGGAGTCAAAATGAAATCAAAACCAAGGAAATGACGAGAAAAAAATGGAAAGAAACGGGGTCCTAAATCATGACATATGAGATTCTGGATCAATTCTGACCCCCAGCTGCATGTACCTCTATAGTTTTCAACTGAGTGAACCAATAACTTTCTTTATTAAGAAAGTTAAGACCCAACTCTTTCTATTACTCCCTGGGACTGGAAGCTTCCCAGATGACTCAGAATCTGTGATACAGACCCTAAAGTCTCTGTGTCATTTTCCCATCAACGGTGATGATGCTGACCTCTTCGTTTCTATGGAAATTGATGTTTCTTTTAGGAAAAAGGAGCACTTCATGACCCTTCCACAGGTTGTATAGGTTTTTGAAAATGTTTTTACCTTAATTGAAAAACATAAGCTATTTAATATTTATAAAGATTTAAAGAGGTTATTTAACTCACCATGAAAAGCAGTAAAGAGGAAGACTGACCAGCAGACATAGAAAAATAACTAAAATCTGCTATTGGAGAAGGTCCAACTGTACAAGTGTTGGATGATTTGAAGTTGTCTCCAATGCATTTTCTGACATCAAATATTACAAAATCGTGGGTTTATATTAAATTTCAGTATATATCGTGATGTCAGGCATGTTCTACTCAAGGCTAGAAAGTGATAAAACCAGTTCACACACAACATGTCAAAAAGCAACAAGAAGTTTTTGTTAAGTGATTCACATTAACCTCTTTCTCGCCCAGGCTTAAAATGTTTTCATAATTAGGGGGTGCCCAGGTGGCTCAGTCCGGTGAGCATCTGACTCTTGATTTCAGCTCAGGTCATGATCTCAGGGTCCTGCAACTGAGCCAGGGGCAGGCTCCTGGCCCAGCGAGGAGTCGGTCTCCCTCTGCCCCTCCCCCTACTTGCGAGCACTCTCTCTCTCTCTCTCTCAATAAATCCTTAAAAAAAAACCTAATTCATAAATTGACAAA